AAGAGATGCTGTGGCCACAGGCCTGTGGGGGACCAGCTGCCCAGTCCCACCTCTGGCTCTACCCAGCTACAGACTCAGAGCATCCCTGCCTAGGGAGACAAGCCTGGCACCAGCCACCTCCCCAGCGGGAGGAGGTACAGGGTGGGAAGATGAGCCCTGAGCTGTGCGTAGCAAACATCAAACCAACTGTGAAAGTCCCTGCTGGAAGACACTATCACGGCCAAGGGCTGACAAGGTGGTAATTTATAGAAAATGAGATCCCGCAGAAGCAGCTGCAGTTGAAAGGTAGATTGTGTTTCAGAGATGACCAGCCTGAATGGAAGGAGCCAGGACAGAGCGTTTTGCAGCTTGCTCCAGCACCTCCTCTCTGTCTCCAGCACCTCTTGGGGCTGCTGTGACACCAGGTGAGGACCGGCAGTACCAGGCTGAGGCCCAGGACCCTCCCAACCTACACACAAAGACCACCTCACAGCTGGCCACAGCTGGACCTGTGTCATGGACAGTCCAGGGCCAGCCTTGCTCCTAGCTGCCAGCACCTGAGCCAAGAATCACCACACTCCCACATGCCGCAGTGGTGCACGCAAAACCAAGCCAGAAGTCGTCCCAGCTCCCAGTGGGGCTGGAAGGGAGCTGGAACCACCCAGAGGGAAAATGAAAAAAAAAATGGTAAATCTGGTCCTCGTGCTTTCCTACGCCCCCTCTGCAGACCCAAGCCCATGGCCAGGCCAGGCAGCAGCAGCTCTGGGAGGCCGGGGCAATTCTGCAGCAGCCCAGTCTGGGCCCACACTGCAGGCACGAGGCAGGAGAGCTAACGGAGGAGCTGCCAGCAGCAGGGATGCACGTGCTCCCCCACAATCCAGCATCCTGGAAAGGGCTTTCACTGGAAAAGCAACAAGCTATTACAGTGGCTGCTTTTCATGCTTCCTGGCCATCTCCTCAGAGCTGCAGCTCTGCTGATAACATGAGAATCCCCCTCATCAGTCTTCAGCAACAAGCTGGTTCAAGTCGACTTATTTATGCTCCGCTGTCTTCAGTGAAGTTATGGTGCATCTCTGCCAGGCACGTTCCCGCTATGCCGAGGCAGCACTAGCCTCCTGCCTCGCCAGCAGCCTTGTTCTTAGCAAGGCTGTGCATCCACACGATGGCCTTGCCTCCCCCTCACCTCCTCCAGGCTCTGCAGGGGCATCCTGCCCCCATGCAGTCCCAGGTGCCCTGCAAACTGCACTGCAACCCCCACCCCGAACCCCAGCAAGCTCCTGGGAAGCCCCAAGAGCAAGCGGAGGAGAGAGGGGTCGGCAGGAGACCCTCCACGCTGGACACAGCAGTGCCGTCACCATGCAGGTGCCACCCAAAGGTGCCAGCCACCAAGCGTGCAGCAGGCTTCGTGCCTCACGCTGCCTCTCCGATGTGCTCTCCTGAGGCGTTACACAGTTTTCCCACTGGCCAGACAGCGACGCTCCACGTTGCCTTCAGCCCAACGCTCCGCACCACCGCGCCGGTGGGAAGGCGGGATGTGCGCCGGGCAGGCAGGTCTCGCGCCCGCTTCAGGCCGTGTCCCGCAGCGCTCCGGTGCCGGCAGTGAAGGCTGCAGAGCGCGAGGAGGCCGAGCGGTGCAGGAGCGGGGCAGCACCCGCAGCACACGATGCCCTGCCAACCCGCAATGAGGAGCGCTCCGTCCTTCCCCGCTGCTCTTGCGCCGGGTAGACAGCCAACAAGAACCCCCTTTGCACACCCTGGGCATCCCAGCAGCCTGTTCAAGGCACCACGAATATCAGCAATCCAGGATCCCACTTCCAAGGCCTCAAGACCTCGCTCCCTCCTCCTACCAAGACAGGACACCAGCTCCCGCGCGGGCTCCGTTGTTAGTCCCTGCTCTCCAAGCGGAGCGCTGCCCACCAAGTACAGCCTGTACGGCACCTTCCTGGCATCTGCCTCAGCCATAAAAGACGCAATAAATAAAATCTAAACATCATGTGCTGCATAACCTACACCCCTTAACAAGGGATCCTGAGCTCCTAACCAGAGAAATATTTAGATGTGAAAAGAGAAATAAAGACCTTATTTCCCCCTTTCCCTGCCCGCCACCAGCTGAACCCAAGGAACCAGAGGTAAGCAACAATTTCACATGAACATTAATGAGGCTGGCAGACTCTGCCTTTTACTCTCCTTCTGCAGAGCTGCAGCCCAGCAGAGCAGATCAGAGAGCTCTTCCCACTGCGTTGCGGGGCCGAGACCGTGGCCTCCAGCAGCACCCTTGGTGGGCTGGACACCTGCGGTGACCGGCAGCAAAGGTGACCCGCTGCGGACAGGGCACAGCTGCCACCGCCCGCAGGGCCGTGCCCTGCCGCCCTGAGCCCCCAGGGTACTCGGCCCTGCACCTTGGCATGGACGGAGCAGGGCCACGCAGGGCTCGAGCAGCACCATGCCCAGCATGCGGTGGCTGCAGGCACAGCCTGCTGGGGTCCCACTGCCCTCCGCTTGGCTCCCGCGCCGTCCCAAGGCTCCCCCAGGAGCCGGTTTCCTACCAGGGACCGTGGGAGGCAGCTCTCCACCTGCACACTGAAGGCTAATGGCTCCAGACCACTTATTATGCCACTCACTCTGGACCATTTTAGCTAAAATAAATGTCAACAGCCAAACTCTAAACACATCCAAGAGCAAAGAGACCCTGCAGGGAATCCACAAGCAAGCCAAAGGGATCTGCCACTTCCCTAGGGACAGAAATAAAGCCCGGGCGCAGGCCCGCAAAGAGAAACAAGCAGCAACAGAAAACATGGATTGGCTTTGGCTGTCACCTCCTCACCTGCAGCTTCCACATCTTTCTCAGCACATGGCAGGGCCTCCCTCCACTTTCCAAACCATCTCCGAGCTGCAGCCGGTGCAACAGCCCTTCAGAGCAGCCTCCCAGCGTAGAGCCCTTAACAGGATCCTGAAATGGCTCCAGACACAGATATGCTCCAACATCTTGCACACCGAGCAGAGCAGCCAGCGGCTGGCAGGCAAACACACTGGGATGCCCCCAGCTCAGCAGGCAGCAGAGACCTCGCAGAAGCAGCAGCACTGCCCAGTGCTGATCCTGAAAGGAGCCAGGATCCTACAAGGAAAGCCTGTAACAGTGGGTATCACCAGCCTCGTGCCCCTTCCTACTCCTCTGATGAGGCCGAGCGCTCTTCTCATGTGGGAAAATCCTAACAACCCCAAATTCAGCCCACACAGCTGTGCTCCTGGGGGAGAGAGCAGCCAGGGCCATTTCCAGCACTTACTTGCTCAGAGGCTGAGGGCCCTATCCTGAGTTGAAGGACTCTCTACTGCTGTCCAGAGCCAGGCACCACCTTTCTGTGCAAGTCTTTTGCCAGCTCTATGGGTCATTTCATCCCCGCAGAACACAAAGGACCCCCAGAGCAGTGCCTTGACAGGCAGAGCCACATATTCCAGACTGGTACCAGAGTTTGGGGCTCCCACCTCGGGCCTGGGTGCTATGAGGGTGGCTGCTCAGACTTTGCAAACAGTTAAGTCGTCAGCCTTCACATAGCGTCTGGTGCACCCCAGAAGCAGGCAGGCAGAACACCAGGGAGGAAAACAAACCAGAGCAGCTTAAAAATTACTGGAGCAGAAACGAGCTTCCTGCAGTCTCAGGAACATTCTGACTTGGTAGAAAGCCAGGCCAGGCCCAGGGGGAATTCACTGTAGAGCTCTCACACCCCTCAGGACAACCCCGAGGGAGCTAATCTGGCTGTGGCAGTCACTCAAACACACACGAGGGAAGCATCCTCTAAGAGCTCTGGCAGAGAAACCCGCTAGAAGAGACACTCCTCCACTCCCCAGCACCAAGCAGGCAGAGTCCAGGAGAGAAAATCCAATCCATGGGGGCTCAGGTCCAATCCATGGGGGCTCAGGTCAGGCTCTGCGCAAGGCCTCTGGAGGAGAAGGTGCAGCAGGAACCCCAGTGTGCAGATTTGGAGCTTGCACTGTGATACAGAGCGCAGCCCAGAAGGGTCAGGAGGTCCCACAAGGGACAGCAGGAAGGGCCATGCTGGCTCCCAGCTGCCTGCTATTCCAGCCCCTCCTATCACTCCAACTTTAGCACTTTCTATTAAAAAAATCTACCCATCAGGCTGCCTACGAATGTTCTGGCTGCATGTTAAACGAAGCCTTTTTCTATTTCCAGTGTGGAGATTAAACAATTTCTCTCTACAATAATCACTTCTGCTTTCAGCCAGCTTTGTGCTGGAGTCAGAGCTTGACCCCAAGTTTCTGTCTGCACAGCCAGATCATCTCTAATCTGGACTTGGTGCTACACAGAAATAAGGAGAGCAAATGCAGCAAGCGAGGAACACTGTACTGATGAAAGGATGCACGTTTTCCTGCCACATCCGTCGCTGGCAGCTCCCCGGCCGGCCCAACGTGAGCTCAGACCTGCAGCTCCGCTCTGCGCAAGCAGCGGAACTCGTGCAGGAGGCAGCACAGCGGGTGCTCACGCCTGTGTGCAGCAGACTGCTGCTGAGCAGACCCCAGGGAGCTCCGCAAGGGAGCCCAAAACACGGCTAATTTTAGCATCTCCTATTACAAGGTGAAGCTCCTGCAGCTTCCAGGCAGCTGGCTGCGTCCCTAGAGGTTTCTGTCCTGCCTTCTCTGCGGCTCCAGCTCTCCTCCTTGCAAACTTTTCCTTTCCCATTTGCAGATATTTAAGGTGAGCGTGGATAAGCTCATTAAAGACAAAGACACTGATGTTCACTGAACCTATGAAAAGCAAATACAGCTCAGTAAATTCACAAACTGAAGCTGACTGCTGGCTGGGAGAAGAAAAGCATCACAAATGCTTATCCTGTTCCTAACTTACCCGCAACCACCCACTCTTTGGCCACTGTCAGGACAAGATCCTGGAGAAAGAAGCCTTCAGTCCACCCTAACACAACTATTCTCCAACTCAAGCAGCTTGTATGCTGTCACCAGCCAAACTGGCTGTCCTGGCCCTAGGGCACGGCAGTCCCAGCTACTCAGCAAGAGTTTGAGCAGTTCTCTCATTACTTGTCATTCTCACTTAGACACTGGGAAATCAAATGACTTTCCCTCCCAATTAGCACTCTTTCATTATGCAAATAATGTCCTTTGATCTGCTCTTACTGTCACGGAGCTGATCTGGTTACATTTGTTTTAGTCCTCTTTGTGCTCCAGGAAGGCACCCAGTTCTAGGGGCTGGGACTTGGCCGCTGGCAGGGACTGGAGAGCTGCAGCTGACAGCTACCGCGAGCAGGAGGAAAACCACCCACTCACCAGCCCTAGGCACAAGCCTGAGCTAGGGCTGGGAAGCAGGAGCATGGCAGGAGGAGGAAGCAGGTCATCCTCGCTTGTCAGGCGAGCAGCAGAGACCGGGAGCAAACAACAGCTCCCTGTAGCCCTGCTCCGAGCTGGAGGACATCCTGTTCCCAGGACCTGCCTCTTGCAGCCCCCTCCACAGCAGGGAGCACAGCTCTAGGTACCAGGGGGCTGGCAAACACCTGCACTCAACCCAAGCAGAGACTGGACATACCACCTGCAATCTCCTGAGCTTGCATTACCTCTTGCATCAAGGTCTCATCGGCTGCTCAGTCCTCCTGCCCCAGGTGAGCCCCTCTACCATTGTGCAGGCACAGGGTACCCATCATCAGCTCTTATGGAAATGCTCCTCAGATCTAGGAGGGATGTTCTGCCTGTCTCAGACAGAAAACCATAACCAAGAGCAAAGCCCCAGTCCCAGTCACACCAGGACGGGTGACCCCAAAGCAGAGCACCCATCAGGACAGGCCTCACAAGGTATTGCCCATGTGCTTGGCCGAGTCCTGAACTCTACCTCCCTCCCCACACCCAGACAGCAGTCCCTGGTCTGCATCTCCAGCTTTACAGCACCTTATGGCCTTACAGTGCCTGGAGCTGAGCTCACGCGGCAGCCCCACGTCCCGCTGCGCCCCCCGCCGCTCTGCCCGCCAGGGCCGGCTGCGACGGAGCATTCGGCAGAGCCACGACCCGGCTGCCTCACTTAGCGCTTCCCCAGGCTGCCTCGCTCCCATCGCTCACACTGCCCATTCCTGGGCAAAGCCCGGCGGCAACGGGAGCGAGCCGGGGCTTGCAGGAGCCGCGAGCAGCGGCCTCCAGCCGAGGACCCATGCAGGGGACCACATGGCAGCGACACTGAAGAACCGCGCGAGGCTCTCCCTGCCCGTCACTCGGTCCCACTGGGCCGGGCCACTGCCAAGCAGCCCCTGCTTGCCTGGGCTGCCCAGGCCGCGGGTGGCCCCGCTGTGAGCGCAGGCCCAGAGCTCACCCCGGCACGCGGAACGCAGCTCCCGCGGCGAGCACGCAGCTCGGAAGCACATCCCACGCTGTTCGCAACACTCCTCTCTACTTCTGAGTATTTTAATTTGCAGGAATTGCCTGCTTTCATGTTCTGAAACCGTGTTTCTTTCTCCCTCTGATCTCCAATTTCGCATAGACACTGTCTCCTTTGATATGCCTTGTTCACATCAGTCTGATCAGGCAGCTCCATAATTGTTAGCGATTTTCAAAGAACTGGGATCCTTGTCTAATACTCAGAGTTGAGAATTCCTGCCTTTTTAAAAAGTTGTTCAAGCAAAATAGATTAATTGAATTTCTTTCTCCCCTTTGGGAACGGGATGCCTCCTGTTTTGCTGCCCACACGCAGGCTTTCATTTCTCCAGGAGCACACGGCCGCTGCTTGAGGTGGGAGAGGATTTGGGCAGGGAAGGGAGGAGGAAGGGGAGCTCAGGAGCCCCGGGGGGAGCTTGGGATGCCCCAGGGGAGAAGGGGAAGCTGCTCTGCCACCACATGCAGCACAAATCTCCCGATCTCAGCTGGCAGTGAAAGCTCACAGCGCTGCAGTCAATGGGCACCGTGCAGCCACAGGGGAGGTGGGACATGGCCAGGTCGGCCCAGAGCCAGTGGCTGTGCCCCACCGGTGTCCCCAGTCCCCCATCGCCAGTGCCACCCTCAGGTTGCCCCCCTGCCACTGCAGCACATGGCAGCTGGCGCCTCCTCAGCGGGGCCCTGTGCTCCGGCCGCAGCCTGTAATCGGCTCAGAGGATTTATCCACTTGTTTCCCCTAAGTCCCCTTATTTACTCTTCCTTCCCTGCTGCCCAGCCAGGGATTTGCAGCGACTCGGCAGCGCGCGCAGCACCACGGGGGCACGGCCGGCCCCCCTACCGGCGGGGGAGAGCTCGGCCACGCTGCCGATGTAGGGCCCCTCGAGGAAGCGGGGCTCGCTGTCGTTGATGTCCTGCACCTTGATGATGAACTCCGACTCGGGCTCCAGCAGCCGGTCCGTCTGCCGGTCGCGCGCCTGCGCCCGCAGCGTGTAGAAGGTCTTCTGCTCCCGGTCCAGGCGCTCCGTGGCGTGGATGTCGCCCGTGATCTCGTCGATGAGGAAGATGGTGCCCGCACCCTCCCCGGAGATGGTGTACTTGATGGAGCCGTCACCTTCATCCGAGTCCGAGTGGATCTGTGGGAAAGAGGCAGAGGGTGGCAGCACCGGGGCTGGCACAGGGAGCCCCAGCCAGTGCCACTGCCACCTGCATCCCACACAGAGGGACAAACCCACCATGTCCAGGCCAAAGGTGCCACATGGGGCATCCCATGCCACTGGTGTCCCCACAGCACAAAAGGTCCCTCTGACCTGCCCGAGACCTCATGGGCTCACCACATGTCCTGCCAGGGGCCAATGGGTTCCAAACCTGCCCTCAGGATGGAAGCTGTCCCTGGGAAATGCTTCCATAGCCATTTCTCTTGCAGTTTCCCAGTTAACACAGCATTTGAAATCAGGGAAAGAAAGGGTAAATAGCAGCTCCCCATGGACAAGGAGCTGACTGGAAGCCAGCCCAGGCGTCCACTGATCATTTTATTGGTGGCATTAAACTGAGTTATGAGGTTTTCGCAATCCAGCCACTTATGAGAAATCTATTAACGGTAACTGGACAGGCTGAATGTGTTTGACAGAGCAGTGTGGTGCTAATTGGGACCATCCATAAGGGGACCAGCCCCGGAAAGGCTTCGTCAGCCGCCTTCGTTTGCTCTCCATGCTTTCTGCTTAGAATCAGCAAAGTTGCCAAAGGAAAAAAAAAAAAAAAAAAAAGGAAAAAAGTCCATTAATCGGCTAATGAAATATGAAAATGTTTATGGGCCATTCAATCTTCCAAACTGCCGTTCCATAATCCACCTTTCAGACACACAGCTCCACTGGCAAGAATTTATACCGGAGCTGCCTCTTTTTACGAGACCTTCATTATATTTGTCTTGTTAGATACAGTTTATGTATTTATTTCGGGAGCGGGGCGGGGGGAGCCCCCACACCAGCCAGCCCGATGCATTTTGCACCACGTTCCCCAGGGAAGCAGCCGTCACACGGAGACCCTGTGCTGCCCTCGTGCTGCTCTGCACTGCAGCCCTCAGCCTCGCTCTTG